GCAAACAACATTGGCTTAAATGGTCTTGGTATTGGTAACATTGGCTTTGGTCTTGGTAACGCCGGTTTGGCTGTAAGTGGATTGAACAACGCTGGCTTAGGAGTAGCCGGTCTTGGATATGGCACTGGTCTCGGCGTACAAAACGTGGCTGCTACGTCCCAGGTGCCCGTCACCGGCCCGTTCACCGCTACTGGCAACGCTGAGCTCGTGGTTGGAGGTGACTTTGCCGTCGGTGGTCAAGCCGTGGTCGGAGGTCAGATCCCAGTGCTCGGTGCTGTTGGTTTCTCGGGCCAGATACCCGCCAGTGGTGTAGTTTCCATCGCTGGCAACTGCGGCTGCTCGAGTTATCCTCTCTAAATAAAGAAGACAAGTTAGAATAGTTATGGTTTAAAATATATTATATTGTCACACATTTGTTTACTTTTAAATTATTTTTACCCAATATACCTTTAGAATTTTAGAATGGATAATGCCTGTATTTTTACAGTCACTATGTTCTTTTATTCTTCAAATTGGATGTTTAACGATCACAATCATCATAAACAAAAAAAAAAACATTTTACCAGTTTCGACATTCATGTTAATATCATTAAAAAATAACATTTACTAATTTAATCTTCTATGCACAGAACTTTGTTAGTTACTTCACATAGAGATAGTGTAGTGCCACTTTTTCGATATGAATCACGCATAGACGAATAAATATCACCAACACTATTTTTACTCAATATAGCAAGAATTTTAGAATGAATGTGAGTAATGCCTATTTTTACAGTCTCTGTGTTCCTTTTCTTCTTCAAATTGGATCTTTAACGATCATCAAAATACAATATCATAAACAAAAACATTCGTATTACAAGTTTCGACTGTTGTCGCGAAGGCGAAGAAACACATGTAATAGTTTAGTATGTATGGTACTAGAGGGAAAAGGATCGACTATTGCTGGCATCACTAATTATCGATTTCACTACGGGCATTCCTATCTGTGAGTTAGCTGTCACGGACAGCCCTTCTGGTTTTTGACATTGGGGTTTTTTACGCGCCAATATACCTGTTTGTTTATCGGTGTGTCTTTCATGCCTTTGGAGTGGACCTGGTGAGTTTTGGATATATTGATTGAATAGTAAAACGTGTCTTTCAGTGGAAAGAAACATATATCATCGTTTAAAGCGACACGCAGTGGGTTTTCTTATCATTATTGAAATGCATGTTAAAGATGCACACTGCGCATAATGTTTTAATATGTATAGTGGGATACTGCTTGCGAGCAGGGCCTCAATGTATAGAATCTGCCTGCGTGGCAGTCCCAGTAGTGTGTATAGAATCTGCCGGTGTGGCAGTCCCAGTTGTGGGTATAGAATCTGCCGTTGTGGCAGTCCCAGTTGTGGGTATAGAATCTGCCGGCATGGCAGTCCCAGCAGTGGGTCTAGAATCTGTCGGTGTGGCAGTCCCAGCAATGTGTTTAGAATATGCCAGTGTCGTATTATTATGAGTAGAGAGAATATGCTTATGAGCAGTATGTTAGATGGAACATAGAAGTGAGACAGCCTGCGGGCAATGTTCCGATGCGAGGCATGGGGTGGCTGAAGGGGAGGTTGGAGGCCACATGGGGGACAACCCCCCAAACCTTTGGTGTCAGAATCATAGAATGTAGTATGGTCCGAGAATAGCTCAGACAGGGTGTGACTAAGTATCAGTTCAAATATTTAATAACATGTATTTGAGATTATCTTTATTTTTTAGTATTAGTACCCAGGTAATTTGGTATGACAAGGTCAGCTTAGATATTCGGGTAATTCATGAAATTTAAGTGATTCCCGACAACTGTTCAGAATGGTGATAGTGTTTTTTAATATAAAATAATATTTCATTTAATTAATAAAGGAAACATAACTCATACTTTCTACAAAAACCTTATACACATTGCGAGCGGTTGATACTTTTGTTAACCGAATGTACGTCTTTGATCAAGAACTTCGGGCCAGCCCTTGCGGATAGAGAGTCCCACACGGGTGTGTGGGCCTGTCGCCTGTCAAGCGGTGGAGTTAGAGCATTATTTTATGTAAAAAAGTTCTATGATTAAGAAGCTTTCTAATAATTCACGGAGTGCACGCTTCTATACACAGTACATAACATGGTCTCTTCGCGTTTTCGTCGCTTTTGTCCGTACGCTGAGATTATTCATGAATATAAAGAACGATTTAAGCGGAAATTTTATATAAGCTGTTCTATAATAAAACAATGTAAGTCCTGATAACTAATAAAAGTATGTGATTGTTTTAATTATATGATTACAGTATCAAATACTTCTTTTTACTTAATCTACTGTTTCCTGCCATTTTTTTTATTTGTGAGCTGTCGTTGTCTAGCTTTTTGGGGTTGACAAAACTGGTGGTCAATGGCTATCAGCGCATATTCAACTATTATAGGATTTCAATTATCCTGTACTATTAAACTATTCCTTTATTTGGCTCGTGACCAAAATTATGTAGTCAAAGTCGCTAATATAGCTAGGTATACATCGACATGAATTCAGCACTTATATTACTAAATACTACTACTTATAAGTATTATGTTATTAGATATAATAGAAATTAAAAGTAAGGTTAACTCTTTGAGGGGTGATCGTGCGGTTGGTATTGATGGTATCTCTTCTAAAGATATCAAATCCCATAAATCAATTCTCCCCTCTCTAACTTTTATAATCAAATTGTGTTAAAGAACTGGTGTATTTCCTGATCTACTCAAAAAGGCCGTGATTCATCCAATACTTTTAGTTCCTCCCATACTAAACACCAATTTCATATGTAAGGACCTAATATTTTACTATTTCTAATTCCATTAATAACACATATAGATATATACACACACTCGGTAATTAATTACATACTTCATATACTGACCAAAATTCATAAATGTTCATTACCAGCAGCCACATATGTAAGTTTTGAATGTATTATCCTTATGTTAAAAGCTTTCGTGTTTTAATGTAAAATAAATAAATATTATTAATATTATTATAGCTTCAAATTGGAAGCTATCAAAAAAAGCCAAATAAGTGAATAAAAGTCAATGATAATGTTGAAATTTATATGCTGTTATTTTTATTTGCACATATCAGATCATTTTTTTAAAAACCTTAACTGACAAAGATTGATAATGAAAACTCGACAAATGTAGCGGATCCAAGTGATAATTCTTTTGCAAAACCGTATCGTAGATAGAGGTGAGGTGTATTTACTGGAACAGATCCATCTACTTGGTATTTTTCAATGCAAGGCCGCACATGTTATATATTTCTAAATACTTAATCCGCATATGATAGTGTACTTTCATTGTACTAAAACATATTGACATCGAAATGATTTTATATACAGGGTTAACTGTAAAACACCAGATACCTCTCAGTATTACATAGCTAACATCATAATCAATGAAGCTTGATTTACGAATTTATTAAACATAATTCAATACCTTGTCATTTTTTTTTTTCAAATGTGGTTGTAAAAATTGGTGATGATATTTATACGTCTAATGCGTGATTCACATCGAAAAAGTGGCGCTACACTATCACGCTATGTGAAATGACTAACAAAGTTATGTGCATAGAAGTGCATATTTTTTAATGAAATTAACATGAATGTCGAAACTGTTAAATTAATGTTTTTGTTTATGATGATTGTGATCGTTAAACATCCAATTTGAAGAATAAAAGAATATAGTGACTGTAAAAATACAGGCATTATCCATTCTAAAATTCTAAAGGTATATTGGGTGAAAATAATGTATAAGTAAATAAATGTGTGACAATATAATATATTTCAAACCATAACTATTCTAACTTGTCTTCTTTATTTAGAGAGGATAACTCGAGCAGCCGCAGTTGCCAGCGATGGAAACTACACCACTGGCGGGTATCTGGCCCGAGAAACCAACAGCACCGAGCACTGGGATCTGACCTCCGACCACGGCTTGACCGCCGACGCCAAAGTCACCTCCAACCACGAGCTCAGCGTTGCCAGTAGCGGTGAATGGGCCGGTGACGGGTACCTGGGACGTAGCAGCCACGTTTTGTACGCCGAGACCAGTGCCATATCCAAGACCGGCTACTCCTAAGCCAGCGTTGTTCAATCCACTTACAGCCAAACCGGCGTTACCAAGACCAAAGCCAATGTTACCAATACCAAGACCATTTAAGCCAATGTTGTTTGCTTCGGATACAGCTAATCCGGCATTGCCAAAGCCAAGCCCAAGGTTGTTAGCGCCAAGACTACCGAGGCTAAGTCCGTTTACGACTCCACCATTTCCCAAATAATTTGACAAGAGCTGACTGTAGGCATTCTGAAAAATAAAAGAAAAATATTATACATCAATAAATTGTTACATTTTCTAATAAATTATATAGAAATAATATGCATTCATTAAGTTTTCATTGGACAAGTTTTAACTAAGCTGCAAGTTTTAAAACAATTCTAGTAATTTTGCAGTCAACTTAAATGATACTATTTATTTCTGAAAAATAGATGATTATTAAATAGTAAATAATATATTGATACTTACATGGATAAGCAAAGCTTGAAGGCAGATGATTAGAACTGATGTTGAAGACATATTTGTTATTCGAATGGCAGTTAGACCTTTGAATGTGATGACTAAAAAATCGATGGCTGTTATATACATACTATCAACTGTATATTATTTAGAAATCTTTATCTTTAGTTAAGTCATAAAAATGCTTGTAGAATAATTTTAGCAATAAATGCGTGACGCGTTATATAAAATTTTCGCCATAGTTAGTTATCTCTACAAACACAATTCAATCTTTTGAAATAACAAAGCATAATCGGTTTATAATTAATAAATTATTGTGATATATATATTAAACTATGTTACAGGGTTATAGAACAAAATAGATAACGCACATAATATATTTTTTATATATAAGCATCTAGAAATCCAACAATAATCACATAGTGTCGCATGCAATTGTGAAAAGCAAAATGTCAGCTCAAAAATATCTTATCATTGCTTCAGCACTTTTGGTCCAGGTAAAAAGAAAAAAAAAAAGTTTGTTGTTCAAAATTATAATAACTAAAATAATACAAACAACAAATACCCTAATTAATAAAGTGCACTGATTACAATTAAATTGATTTCTTCTATTTACAGACCGTCTACAGCCTGCCCCTGAACTTCGGTAGTATATTGGGTAACACAGGTGTTGATCTCGAACTTCAAGCTACCAGTACTGCGGCTGGTGGTCTTAGTGGCTACTTGGGAAATGGTGGTCTTATTAACAGCGGTGTAACGAATGTCGGTGTAAACAGCTTTGGCTTTGGCAATGGAGTGATTGGTGCAGGTCTTGGAAGCGATATCGCTGTGATTGGTGGTAGTAACGCTGGTCTCGTTGGTACTGGATTAAACGGCGTGGCATTGAATGTTGGTGGCCTCAATGTTGGTTCAAGCGGTCCGTTAGTCGTCACCTCCATCTCTCCCATCGGCCCCAGTGGTCTTGTAGTGGCGTCCGAGAACGTGATCGAAGGCACTTTGTTAGTGAGCGGTTCTTTGCCGTTCCTGAGCGCGGTGGCGTTCGAGGGTGGTCTACCGACTGCCGGCAACGGCGTAGCCACGTGCGGCTGCGGTAATGGTGCCGTAGGAATTATCAACCCCTAACTTTTCAATTATCTATTCTGTTTACATTTAAATAAATGCTTTTGAGCCTTCTATCGTATTTAATTTTGTTATATGTTCGATATAAAAGTGTTGTCAACTTATGTTATATGTTAAAAACGTTTGTAAAAAAGATTAACTTATTTTGTAGAAGATTTTATAATAAAGTTAAACTAACCACTATCGTTAATTGACTCTTTGTAAATTATAAAATAAAAAACTTTTTGACTAATTAAATATAAAGGTTTTTCGAAGCCAATTCAAATCTTACTCCCGCCTACTCGGTCTAATGCTCTTGCTAATACGATTAAGTAGAGAAACTGTTTAATACTGTTTTTTGTAGTTATAAGACGGATTGTAGTAAGAACTGTGGCAGTCAAAAAGTGGAATTATTTTGTTCGCTCGTAGGTATCAATTGTAGGGGTCAGACTTGCTCCTGAATCAAATTCAGAGTCAGCAAGCCTGAAACTACATTTAAGTGTATAATGGTTTTGTAAATTAAGTTTCATACTTGCAATAAAAAAGGCGTATGTTTTTGATGAATTCTCGAAATTACGGCGCTGTTGCAAGCAGTATGATCATGATCACGAAGTGAACAAAAACAAGGTATATGGTAGCCATCCTTTTTTTTTACCAGGAAAAATACGTTACGCACTATCCCCGCCGTCTCGACTGGACGGCAGGGGGTGTGTGGGACTCTCCCCCGCTGAAGGCGGGGGCCTACCCACTAAAAACCCTGGACATGCGCTCAGTTCGGAGTGATACCCGGAATCCGAACGTATTCACCGGGCCGCCCATTTCCTATCTGAGCGGGTCTCCACCTCGCAGGTGGGGGAATTAGAGCATGTTAAGTCCCCTCCCAGTCAGGTGAGGCCATGCAATGCGCAGGGGTTGTCAGCCCCCACGCGTGCCTCAGTAGAGGGGAGGAATGCGTTATTATACGATTCCTCCTCCCTTCCCTCCTGTACGAAGAAAGTCATAGACCCTCTCTTCCGCAGCCTTGAGGTCCATCCCCTCTCGACAACCCCACGGTTCAGTCATGTTATCATATCTGTTTCGGGGACCGCCGGGCTGAGAGGGATCTCTCCCCTCTATCTCAGTCGTGGTTGCGGCGCCACCGGCCGCGCCTCAGGCACCCCCATGCGGTCACCCCCCCGAGAAATTGAGTGGGAGCCCTCATGCTGATGCAATCCGCCCTGGCGCCTAATGACGCCACAGCCACGATGAGAGGGCCAACACTGATCCCAATGCAGGGCACTCTAAGCCGCTGCTCCACCCCTCAGTGGCGCTCCCTTGCCTCCCTCTAAGGAGAGAGGGGGGAACGACACCGGGCGACGGTGCAAGGGTATGGCCCCCGGCCACCCCACGAGGCAGCCAACCACATTCGTGATTAACCGCCCCGAGGGACCGCCGGCCCCCGCCCCCCGCACAGCAGCTCGCGTGCCTGGGTGTGGCTTACCCTCCTACTGGGGAAGGAGGCGAATACAGCACCGCCTCCTCCTTCCTACCCTCCTACGGCGAATACCTCCTCGTGAAGTATTCGCCGTATTCGGCGAAGTCCCTCTCGCGTTCCCTCTCCGCCTCTTCCTTCTGCGAAATACCTCCTCGCAGAAGGAGGCTACCGCCCTCCACGACTCTCTGTCGCGCAACATGGCCCGCACAACCCCGGCTAGCGACAGGTCCCCACCTATAGCCGCCATCAAGATCCGGCCCAGGCACTGCACACTTCCGGTGTGTGCTGCGCCGAGTCTTCGGCAGCCCCGCAATGGTGGCACCCTGGCGTCTCCTCTCTCTGGATGCGGTGCAGGAACTTCTCGAAACATCCATGATCGGTTAGAACCTGCACCAACCTGAAGGTGTGGGACCCAAAACTCCGCTCCCTCCACTCCGCCAACACCGGCCGGAGTGCTTCCACGGTTCTTGTCCCCGCTGTGGGGGAGGCGAGATTATACTCCCAAACCCCCATCAGCACTTCCTCCGCTTGGCTTCTTATCTGGGCAAGTTCCACAGGGGCGAGCCGGTCCCCTCTGTCTCTAGCCGCCACCCTCTCGTGATATATCTCCGCGAGAACTTCAGAGATGGTAGCCATCCTGCGATAAACTATCATTCTAATGATAATGACCATGAAAGCTTAAAACAACATATTTATATTGATGTTGATTGTATAATCCACGCTAATTGCTAATGCGACTAGCCGCCATTTTGGTGACGTTCAAAAATTAGTACCGTTAACAAATAAACACTAGTTGACGAGTACACTTATCGAATTGAATTGTGTATTGTTTTTGTTTTTTCGATTGTTATTATTAAGTATTGTTGTTACTTGTTTTGGTTCACCAATATATCATCTGCTATTATGATTTTCACTATAAGTAATTCTAATTTCACTATAGATAATATATCTAAAGTCTCCATATTTAAAAAAAAAACCCTTTTTCCGTTTGTTAATTAATTTTATATTTTTCATGTTTTTTTTTTTAAATTTCCAAATAGCTTAATATTAAAATATTTTTTTTTTTCCGATTATTCATATAATAAATTATCAACTGAAAGTTTATTACATCATTATCATCACACGTACATCATTATAACAAAATTTTAGGGATTTTTCATAAATATTTCAATAATTAATAAATAATTTATCACGTGCATTTTGTGCTATCTATACATTCTATTTTCAAATAACGTCACGCGCGTGTTATATTTAGAAAAGGTTCCAGGCCACTAGCAATTTACTTGACTTATAACGACATTTCTAATCGTCCTGTTGCTTTGGAATCAATAAATTTTTAACCAGAATTGTCATGATGTTCTGGTATTAATATTGTCACATGCCGATTTGTAACAAGAAATCTCTCATTTTTAATCCATTTCAAAATATTGGAGTTGTTTTTTATATTTGTGCTACATGGTATATTCGTGAATAGCGGATCAAACATGATGTTTTTTGTCTGAAAGTGTATATCAGGGTTTTTAATGTCTAAATTTAAAATACATCACAATCCCTTTCAATTTAAAACTGTAAGATATTCACGAACATCACCCAATAACTATTTGACATTTGATAGCGTTTGCGATAGCAATGGTTTTTTAAAGATATTGAATATTAAAGTTATTTGACGATAGTTGAAATTAGATAAGGTAAGCGTTAAACGGGAATATTACTTTTAGTTTTTATTATATCTACTGATAAATCCAATCATTGTTAGTTTTGGAAGCGACTGCTACTTTAAACGTCAGGGTTCCATAAATCGTTAACCTCATCATAACTTTGAAAGAGATTGTGTCAGATTTTGAAATTAGAAAATTAGGCCACTAAATAGTTTTGTTATTATATCAAAATAACTGGAATTATAATCAAGAGGATACAAGTTCTACAGTTTGTTTTATTAAATACAAGCAAAGATTGGCTTAAAGGAGTCTCCAAAACCAATATGTATATGATATCGTCTAGATGATGGAATAAATATTTTTCATTTTCATTTCTTGTAGAATATATGATTGTAATACGGCATTGATGCAGTTATGTTGAAAATATTGGGAAACCGTAATATGACAAATTTGGTATTCGAATGTTTTACTTTTATTAAGATATATTATAGTTTAATTTCTTTGGTTTTTCATAAGAAATAACATGAAATAAGATAACCAAAAATTTAGCTGACTAAAGCATTTATTTACATATAAATTGAAAAACCATTTGAAGAATTAGGGGTTGATGATTCCGACGGCACCATTACCGCAACCACACGTGGCGACGCCGTTACCAGCAGTTGGTAGACCACCTTCGAATGCCACCGCACTCAGGAACGGTAGAGAACCGCTCACTAACAATGTGCCTTCAATGACGTTCTCTGACGCCACAGCAATACCACTGGGACCGATGGGAGAGATGCAGGTGATTACCAAAGGACCGCTAGAACCCACATTAAGACCGCCAACATTCAATGCGATGCCATTTAATCCAGTACCAACGAGACCAGTATTGATGCCGCCAATCACAGTGATGTCGCTGCCAAGACCTGTACCAATCAGTCCAGCATTGCCAATTCCAAAGCTGTTAACACCGACATTGGTTACACCGTTGTTAATAATACCACCATTTCCCAAGTATCCACTGAGACCACCAGCCACAGTACTGGTAGCTTGAAGGTCGAGATCAACACCAGTATAACCCAAATTACTTAGAGGTAAGCTGTAGGCATTCTGTAAACATGAACAAAATAAATGTTTTATTAATTAATCAATGACTCTACCTCAAAAGCTTTTATCTATCCCTATACATAAAAGAACAAGATACATAAATGTATTATAATATAGATGTCATATAAGTATGGAGAATAAAAATGAGCCTAATTCGGTGGGTTCAACATTTTGCTTCTTGAAAATGGCAAATAGGTGTTGATTACGCTGATCCTCATTTATTGAGATCGGATCAGCCTGTTTGCACGCGTAGAAAATTTAAAAATATGTATAGAAATACATGCCATTCGAAACCTTGGAGCCTTTGCATAAAAAACATTTTATATATATTTTTTCAACCCTTACAATAAATAATTTTCTATTTACCTGGGCGAATAGGACTAAAGCAACAATAACAATTTTTTGAGCTGCCATTTTGATTTTCAAAACGAAACTGTAACTAATAAGCGTGGAAGTGTAGCTTTTATTTGAACAAATTATTACACAAATATGTGTTTAATCTCTATTACACTAACCTTATTACATAAAATCAAATTATAAAATTCATTGTTTATAACTTCAGGTAATTTTGCATTACGTTAAAAAAAAATTTTATGTAACAAAATTCCTAATCAGTAAGTTTTCAAGAATGAAAATTACAAAACGATCTACATTTAAGGGTATAAATATTTTGCCTATTTCTTTATGTATTATCATACAAAGTTAAACAGACATTCGAACAACAATAATGAATTCTTCAACTTTCTTCTTAATCTGCCTTCAGGGTTTGCTGATTCAGGTAACGATTTCACTATTTTATTTATATAAATAAGATTGTACTGAATTTACAGTATTTAATTCTATATTACTTCCTAATTTTTCTACAATTTTAAACCCTATTTTTCATTTTTCTATTTTACAGAATGTATACAGTCAGACATTAACTAACCTTGGCAATTATTTGGGCAACAATGGTCTTGAATTCATTACTGGCGGTATTGGCGTAAACGGTCTTGGAGTCAATAGCCTTGGCATCAACAACATCGGTCTCGGCGGACTTGGCATCAATAATGGTTTAGCTGTATCCGAAGCAAACAACATTGGCTTAAATGGTCTCGGTATTGGTAACATTGGCCTCAGTCTTGGTAACGCCGGTTTGGCTGTAAGTGGATTGAACAACGCTGGCTTAGGAGGTGCCGGTCTCGGATATGGCGCTGGTATAGGCGTACAAAACGTGGCTGCTACGTCCCAGGTGCCCGTCACCGGCCCGTTCACCGCGAGTGGCAACGCTGAGCTCGTGGTTGGAGGTGACTTTGGCGTCGGCGGTCAAGCTGTAGTCGGTGGGCAGATCCCAGTACTCGGTGCTGTTGGCTTTTCTGGTGCGATACCAGCCAGTGGTGTCGTATCTATCGCAGGCAATTGCGGCTGCTCCAGTGTTCCTTTATAAATATTTTAAAATACTTACTGTAGAATAAAATGAAATAAATATTGTCGATAACACTTGATCATTTGCTTTTTTCTTTACTGTATAAAAGCATTAATCCAGTCACAGTTTCATGTCAACATTATTAAAGATCAATATTCAAGCAGTGCTCTTAACCTTGCAGAAGCTGGTGCATATAATGAATTTCATTTCTTAAAAATAAAGAGTTGGTGCTAATCTAACGTCACGTATAACCAGCCATGAAACGTAAGAACTGACAAATATAATTTGATCTTCAAGTTTTAACTCTGCACAGTCGGATCTTCCGTCAGATAACCACCACTGACTCTATAGCGACAGTTAAATATAACTGGTGCCACCCACGCCGCATGATATCACCATATGGTATGAATTTACTATACTAACATAGTCTTTGTTATCCTGGGGCAGACGAAAAACGGAAAATGTTTTGTGTGACCGTTAAAGTAAACGATTCATATCGTTATCCATAATAGATAGAAATTTAAATAAGCTAAAAGTACCCTTCTCTAAAATGCATTTAGCAACATCCAGCCCCAATGAATGTTAATCTAAATATATATAACTCAAAGGTGACTGACATATATAGCGATCTATCAACGCACAGTCCAGATTACTGGACGGATCGGGCTGAAATTTAGCATGCAGTTAGATGCTGAATAAAATAGGGGATGAAAGTTTGAATGAAACTTTGTCAATTTAAAATCGATCGACCTGAGACTTTGCATGCCTAAAGCTATTATGACGTAGGCATCCCCTAAGAAAGGATTTTGACCAAATTTTACCCTCAAGTGGATAAAATAGGGGATGTAACTATATTTCAGGTATGTTACACGATATGATAAATAAATATTCGGTAGAAATTCTGCTCAAAGTAATTTAACCACGCGGACGAAGTCGCGGGCAAAAGCTATACCAAATCGTATAAAAAAATTTGAAATCCTATACAATTTAATACAAAATTAAAATCATTGTTATTAATAAATGTTACTATAATATAAAAAAAAATTTCGAAGACAAATGTGAGGAGCAAATTTTAATCGAATTTATTTTTACTTATTGTTTTTATATAATCTTTGGTCGTCGTTCATTAAGAATATTTATTTTGACATAATTTTATTTAATTTAATGTTAATACAATGAATAACTTAATTATGAGATGTTTTTAGTTATAAATTGTTGTTAATATTATATCTTCACTTTGATAAAGCTCCCCTCTACATATTGCAATGCCCTTGTAGGGCGTCACATGTATACCTAAAAGTTAATTTATCACTATAACCATAAAACGATAATAGGTATGTTCCGATATACACTGCGGCCACTGAACAGTATGACGTCAATTTAGTATACTGGAAGCCCGTTCCTTTATAGCTAGTTATACTGGTGACTTTTTAAAACGGAACGCAGTCCAGTATACTGTTAATCCTATTTTTTGGCGCCATTTTCAAATTTGTTAATGCAAGGTGAATATAAATATAGATTCCCTCTTTTCAAAAGAAAATATTATAAAATTGTGTATAAAATAATTATTTAACAATTAAATCCATCTTATCGGGTTGGCACAAAAGTAATGAGACACTTGGTTTAAGTTTTTACTTACTTATTCTTATTACAATAAAAAAAGTTTAGTCAATGATGTAATTACTATTAGTATCTAAGACTTCTTGCCAACGATCCGGCAAAGTTTGGATGCGTTTTGCCCAGAACTCTGATGGCTGTGCCTCGAAAAAGTTGTTCAACTCCGCCTCTACGTCAGAGAAATCATTAAATTGTTAACCCCGCAAATGCTGTTTCAGGGCTCTAAACAAATGATAGTCTGATGGGGCGAGGTCTGGGGAATAAGGTGGGTGGGGTATCGTCTCCCAGCCCAAGTTCTCCAACTGCCGGCGAACCACAGATGCGACGTGAGGTCGAGCGTTATCGTGCAGTAAAACTACATTGACTCGTCTTCGTCGTTTTTTCTTGATAGCGGCAGATTATTTGGTAAGCTGGGTTGAATATTTGTCAGCGTTTATAGTTTCATTGTGTAATAGCTCATAAAACAGTATGCCTTGCGCATCCCAGAAACAGCACAGCAGAATTTTTCAGCGGTTCTTTTGACTCGGCTTCGGTTGAGTTGGTGGCGTTTCTTCTCGAGGCAGCCAAAAAGCACGACGTGTATCGTTCTCGTAATAAATCCATGATTCATCTCCAGTAACCAGATCTGACAAAAACTCTTTACGTCGGGGTCGCAGCAAAAGTGACTGACAGATAGCGACACGGACTGCACGACTGGCGTCTGTAAGGATGTGCGGTACCCACCGAGCCAAAACTTTTCGATAACCAAGCTCATGCAGATGGTGTTCCACGGCGTGGTGACTGCATTTAAGTGCTTCCGCTAATTCACGAGTGGTAGCATCCGGATTCAACTGCAGTTCGCGGCGCAAATCGTCATCATTCACTGCGGGTGGTCGCCCTGAGCGTGGCTGACTTTCAAAGCTCCTGTCTCTTGATTTAAAACGGTCAAACCATCGGGACACCGTCGCATGCCTTGTACTTCCAGCGCCTAATGCATTGTTGATATTGTCAGCCGCAGCCCGCGCACTGTGGCCTAACAAGTACTCGTATAAGTTATAGTGTTCGAACTTGTCGCTCGTCCATTTTTCTTCAAACTGACTAAACAAATCGCGAGCACGGCTTTATATACCCTACACCAGAAGTACCTAGAATGTTCTACAACATTCTAGAATATTATCGAAAAAATTGATTTTAAAAAGGAAATGTTATAGATTTTTCTAGTGTGTCTCATTACTTTTGTGCCAACCCAATATAATAAACGTAAGTATTTTTTTTTTGTTTATTTAGAAACTTATCATTTTCTGATTCTGTTTCGACTGATCACGTGATCAAAAGCACTGCGAGCACCTTACCTCGAAATCTCCAGTGCTCACAGTATAAATATGGCGGCAATTTATGACGTCATAAATTTCCCTAGGGTACTGTAGCAGTGTACTGGCAGTCCATAACGGAACGGATTTTTCAGCAGTAAGACCACTGCGCAGTGCTCGCAGTGTATATCGGAACATACCCAATATCTATCAACTTCCACACTCGGTCAATATCTGTGGGTTTGTGTTAAGATTTGTGGGCTAGACAATTAGCCTAAAAATATATATATAAGTACTAAAATCCCCTTCAAAGGTATCAAAATCAAAAAATCAAAATCATTTATTCAGTCTAGGCTGTTACAAGCACTTGTGAAAGTCGAGAGCTACGCCAACGGTTCGTAAATCTACGGCGGGAGACCTTGTACCGAGAAGAACCGGCAAGAAACTTGGCAAGGGCTGCTTTTTTCTCCCTGTTTTATTTCATACAGAGCGTCAAGATTGAAAAATGACTTCATTAAATTTGAAGTCACTTTCCATTACAATATAACACAATATTAAGAGTAAAACAGTATTTTCGTCAATCCAATCACATTTGTAGCCAAAGAAGCTCACCGATTAACAATTTAATATATATGAAAAATGAGCCATATTTAACTCCAAGTAGTTTTGTCGTTTAAATATTCATTAATAGTATAATATCCTTTACTGAGTAGACAATTCTTAACATGGGTTTTAAACTTAGGTAAAATAAATTTAAAATTTCCATAGGAATTTTGTTATAGTAGTGTACACCTTGACCCATAAATGACGATAGAACCTTCTTTAGCCTGCATGACGGCAAAACAAGTTTATCTTTGTTTCTAGTATTAAAATTGTGTACATGACTATGTTTAATATAATTGTTTATATTGTTTCTAACATAAAGTATACAATTATATATGAATTGGGAGGCCACTGTTAATATCCCAATTTCTTTGAATTTATCTCTAAGTGACGTTCTTGAACCCAATTGATAAATGGCCCTTACTGCTCTTTTTTGTAAAATAAATATAGACTCTATATCTGCAGCCATACCCCACATCAGAATGCCATATGACATAACGCTATGGAAATAACTAAAGTATACTGTCCTAGCGGTATCTACATCTGTAAGTTGCCTAATTTTTTTTTATTGCAAAGGCAGCTGAACTTAGTTTTCCTGCCAATAATGAAATGTGAGGATGCCATTGCAATTTAGAATCCAGCGTTACACCTAAGAAGATTGTTGAATCAACCAACTCGAGCTTTTCATTATTAAGTTTAATTTCTGTAAGTTCAGCTTTTACATTAGGTAACATAAACTTTATACATTTCGTTTTTTTAGCATTTAACTGGAGATTATTTACAGTAAACCAGGTCATAATCTGTGATAGAGCATTGTTTACATCGTCTAAATTATTTTTACATCTATCAATATTAAATATTAAAGAAGTATCATCTGCAAACAATACTATATCGCATAAAGTTTCGGCAAAAAATGGCAAATCATTTATGTAAGTTAGAAACAGAAAGTAAAGTATAGCGATTGTGCTACCGATTTATGGAATTAAGTATTTGACTCTTAAAGTCGCAATCACTTTTGGTACGAAAACAAATGGTATCTGAATGTTTTTAGTGGGAAACCAGTTACTCCCATACTCTCGAGCTTTCTCAATAGATGATGGGAGAGACATATTGTGAAATAATGGTTTAAATGATTAAGAAACAATGAAAACACGCCTGAACCCGTCGACAGACTGCGGGTAGTGTAAGTTTTTCGTTTGAAATTTCTCAATTTTTTAAAGATATTCTATAATTTTGCTTAGACAATTCCAATTCATTCATCACCAGCCCTTTTACGTCCCCACTGCATGGGCTCAGGCCTTCCTTATGGATGGTTAAGGAGGATGGGCCATGACCCTCCACGCTGGCCTGGGAATTTCGTGAATATCTTTCTTTGAAAGTGATTACGGTATATTTTAAAATCAGACAATTAGCCCACTTGAACCTATTTGTCTAATTTCAAATTTTATCGCAATTTCTCTCAATACATACATAACTATTCTATAACTACTATACAAAATATATCATACTTAATATGTGTTTAGATGTGTGCAACTCAATACATTCAGTAATTTCGTAACCAACGGACAGAGAGACAGAGACACCACCGAGATATCTTTGAAAAATTCTTTCTTTTTCTTTCTGAGATATAAAGCCGCTACTGAGATATATCTGACTTGTCGAGAGGCAGTTAGTATTATTTATTACAGTATTACTTAGAGATTGCGCTAAGCAACATTAAAAGTATTATTTCAATGTTATCACACACAAAAAAATCAAAGGCAATATAATTACATAATAATCAAACAACATTTATTGAAATAAACAACAATTATGATTGCGAGATTTTATAGTGGTACGTTGGAGCAGCCACAGTTGCCTGCGACAGAGACAACGCCACTGGCTGGAACTTGGCCGGAGAAAGTGACAGAGCCAATCACTGGGATCTGACCACCGATTGCAGTTTGACCGATGACGTCAAAGTCACCTCCGACCACGAGCTCAGCGTTGCCAGTAGCGGTGAACGGGCCGGTTACGGGCACCTGGGACGTAGCAGCCACGTTTTGTACGCCGAGACCACTGCCATATCCGAGACCGACAACTCCTAAGCCAGCGTTGTTCAATCCACTCAAACTATTACCAAGGCCAACTCCATTATAACCGATGGTATTAACGTCAATAGCATTGTTAATAAGCCCACCATTTCCCAAGTATCCATTGATTCCACCCACAGCATTGCTAGCAGCAATGAGATTTAAATCGGTACCAGTATCACCCAAAAAATTACCATAATTCACCAAGGGTTGAACCAATTGACTGAAAGCATTCTGGAAAAAAGTATATAAACTATTAATAATTATAAATGATTTTAATAGCTTTTAAATGTTTATTTATTTGACATTGATGTTGATTTTGCCTTATTGGCCAAATCATCACAAAAAACATACCTGGATGAGCAAGGCTTGGAGGCAGACCAAGAAGAAGGTTGAGGAAGTCATGTTTGTTATTCTTAAGTTTGTTGAACTTTGAATAATAATTCGAAGACAAAGACTGATATTTTATATCCTCAAACATGGATATTTTGTAACAAGAATGACTTCCAGCTAAAATGTGTAATCATGATAATTTTAACGTAATATGAAAATTACTTTCAGTTATGAAATGGAAAATTTTATAACTGGAAACTATGTAATGAGGTTATTATAATTACGATAACATATGCACGATTATATTAATAATTTTATATAAAAGCTAATAGTTCAGACATAACTATTATAGTCGTGTTCAGAAACCTAATATGGCAGTTCAAAAAGTCCTTATCATTGCTTCGGCTCTCTTCGTTCAGGTAAATAGAATAAGTTTTTTTAATATAAAGTTAATACAAGAGAACAAATAATCTATAAATAATAAACCTTACATATACTACAAGACAAACAATATGGAATAGGTAGTATACCTAAAATGAAATCCTTTTTTATATTTATTTTTAGGAACTTAAAAAAAAACATGTTAGTTTCATATTATTATGTATAATCATTATTTAGATAACCTAAGAGAGATTTAGACGCTATATTGTTGTAAAATCGTTGACGACATTCGAGACGGTATGGAGAACTTTCGTCTAACTGTGTTAGTTTTACTTGATTTCTCTAATGCTTTTAACATCGCTAATTAACCTTAACACAATTCCAGCTGTTGCTTATGCTGGCTTGGTGATTCTTTATACTGGTAAAGTAGAAGATCTTGGGCTTATTTTTGACAGTACTTTGCACTGAGATGATCATATGAATAACGTCTGTTGTAAAATCCATCGTACTCTCAGTTCACTTTATCGACTGAAGAACTTTCTCCCTTTCCGTACTAAGTTTGCTCTCAATCAAGCTCTTATGCTGATGTTTGTACTTCAGATATCAATCAATAGATTGGATCGTCTTCTCAACAATACAATTCGTTGTGTTTTCGGTCGACGCAAATATGACATCTCCAATTTTTGTCAACATCTTAAGTGGCTTCCTATTTTGGGGCGTAGGTACTTAAGGATTGTTTGTGCACACTTTTCAAGATACGAGCACCTAAGTATTTGAAATTGCAGTTTGAAATCCTTGGTGCCCCTCACCAGAATAATCTCCGTTCCATTAGTAAACTGGTACTCCAAGCACCCTCTCACCAATCTAGATTTGTATCTCATTCCTTTACTCTAACTGCCACCCACCTTTGGAATGCACTGCCTTTGAATGTCCGAAGTGCTTCTAACAAATTTGCATTCAAGACGACAGCTCGCAACTTTTATCTTACTTCAAACTTATTTTCTAGATCTAACATCAAAATCTGTTCATACTTTGCGTGTTATACTTATATATACGAGTATGCCTTTATTTATGTATATGTCACCGGAAAATAAAAATATCCGTAAGTTTATCAATTTACTAGGAAGTTTATAAACTTTCGTAGGATTCTAAACGGGAGATAAATCGTATTATTTTACGTCTACATTTTCGTAAATTGATAAACTTATTGAACTCACTCGTAAAATAATAAGTAAGCAAGAACCAAACGCCACGCGCGATCTGATTGGTTGACTGTCTCATGTCACTTCTCCTTCCTCGCGGCCGCCATTGTTCGCCAAGGAACATAAACAAACCGGTTTGCTCGTGCGTTTTGATTAGTTTGAAGTGTTGAACTGTGTTGAAACTGTGAAAAATAGCTTTATTTCGTTAAGTTTATATAGCAATACCCATAATGAGTGACCTACAAGCTGCGGACACCCAAAATGAAGGAGATAGTGTGGTAAATGCTGGAACATTTGTTGACGAAGTAAAATTTACCACAGAGCTACGAAAGTTTTATAGTGGGCATAACCAAAATAGTAAGAAGTCGGAATGGACAGAGGAAAAAATTCAAAATATTATTAAAATGATAGAAAATTATAATAAAGCTAAACTTTTGGGAAGTCGGCCCACAGACAAAGAATACTATCACGCCAAAAAGTATGACATTATGACTTTTAGTGACGAAAAAGTATTGATATTAAAAAGGAAATCTCAGCAGGATCCAGTGATACAAGTAATTCCAAGCAGTAAATACTACCAAAAAATCCTTGATACACATGTTGCTACAGGTCACGGACGGCGTGACAAAATTATTTACGGCTTGAAAGAAAAGTACATGGTTCCAGTGTTTGCCATAAATATTTTTCTTCAATTGTGCAAAACTTGCCTTTCCAAGAAAAGTTTTCCTAAAACTGGGATAGTCGTGAAACCACTAATTACAGATGACTTCAATAGAAGAGGACAGGTAGATCTGGTGTATTTTCAATCATCGCCAGATGGAGAGTACAAATGGATGTTACAGTACCAAGATCATTTGACCAAATTTTGTTTTTTACGGCCACTCAAAAGCAAAGAAGCGAAAGAAGTAGCAATTGAAATTTTAAAGATATTTTTAGAAGTTGGTTGTCCCAATATTCTCCAAAGCGACAATGGACGTGAGTTCACGGCATCAATATTAAAAGAAATAGTGAGCTTATGGCCAGCTTGCAAAATTGTTAAGTTGGCACTTCGTTTGGCGTCATTAATGACTGGTTGCCTCGAAACGCTGTCCTTTCAACCACAGGAGAAATGTTGAATGAAACTCTTCCTGAGGTACGATTTGTACTATTATTTCTACTTATATAAACATGACTTGCAATTCTTATGTACTTTAAGTTTGTATTTACAGATTAAGTTACCATTAAGAAAAATATCTGCGATGTCTTCTACATTTGGCGGGCAAGGAATAAAGCAATGCAACTGCAAAAAATATTCTAAGGGACAGTGTTTATCAAATAAGTGCAATTGTAAAAAAGCTAATATATTGTGCAATTCAAGGTGCTATAAATCTTTGACTTGTGACAATAAGTAGATAATTGGTAATAAGTACTTAAATAATTTTTACTATATATTTTTTAAGCCATGTTAAGACTAAGTTAAGAAAAATTACGACCGAGCTACTAATTACTGAATTAGGTATGTAACTACGACCGAGTAGGTATGTATGACACAGACGAAAAAGCTATGTTTTGTATATTTTTTTTGATAATAAAGCCTTTTCTACCAATTTATAGTTTGTCAAGTCTGATTGTACCGAAGTCTATGGACACAAGCATTCCCACTAATGAACATTGACCAATTAGAGAGCAGTGTGTTATTTTACGTATTTCAAAGATGCGTATATTTAAATATCCTTCTGTGATTGGTCGAACCATATAGAATCTTACGAATAGATATCCGTTAGTTTATAAATTTACCGTGTGTTGTCGGTAATTTATAAATTTACGAAAATGTAGACGTAAAATAATACGATTTATCTCCCGTTTAGAATCCTACGAAAGTTTATAAACTTCCTAGTAAATTGATAAACTTACGGATCTTGTTATTTTCCGGTGACATATATATATTTATATTTAGATATAGTTCTTATGTAGGGATATCACTAGCGTAACGTATACCTATATTATTAACCTACTTTATGATTATTGCCGCACTTAAAGTCTGTACTAAATATTGGAATCCGAAAATTGTTTTCTGAATTATACTTTATAGAAATTTTAATACATTCTGAAATAAGCTAAGCGAATCCGTACACAGATAGCGAATTTCCTGGACTTATTATCAGTTTAAATTTAAGAAAGAATTTTAAAATTCCATATTAGGATTCAGATATATTCCATATTAGGTTACTGTCTTCTAACATATTAGTCAACATAATTGTAAGTTAGAATCCTTAGGACGCAACCAATAAGATGCGTGTAACAACATCTTAGGAAGTAATTTTTAATACGACGTAGCTTTTCAACAATTTTCAACAAAACTTTTGTACAAATCGGATAGAAGCATTCAATTTCGACCATGGTGACCGCTTTGACTCCTAGTCCAATTGTTGATGAAGCACTCCGAGATGGCTAATATAGCCAATCTTATTGAAGAACGCCTAACGAACTGTAATAATCTATTAAATAATAAGTCTTAAAAAACTAAAAGTGTGATAGTGATTAACTCATGATTTCACTAAAAGTGGCTAAACTTTGCTAGCTGATGTCACTATTGCTTGGAAGAAGGGTCATAAGTCAAGGGTTAATAGGTACATTGTCATCATCCTTTGGAACGTCGCCAAAGAGGAACATACTTTATTTTTTTACATCTTTTACTATAATAACTGAAAATTATATGGACAAGTTTCCAAACAAAAAGAAATTATATTCATATCTACCAATGACTTAATAATTAATTTACTCTTTTTACAGAGCGTCTACAGCCAGAACCAGTACTTCGGGAATTATGGAACTACTTTGGGTTCCACAGGCCTTGAATTGGATCTTGTAGCAACCAATAGTGGGTTGGGTGGTGTTGGTGGATACTTGGGAAATGGTGGTCTTATTAACAATGTTATAGATGTAAACAACATTGGAGTTAACGGAGTTGGTTTAGGCAATGTTGGCTTGGGCAATGTTGGAGTGGGAAATGTTGGATTGGTTAACGCTGGTCTTGGTAGCGGATTCGGTGTTACCAACGTTGGCGTTAATGGTCTTGGATTTGGCAATACTGGTCTGATTGGCGCAGGACTTGGCACCGTGATTGGTGGAGGTGCTGGCGTTGTCGGTACTGGGCTGGAGGGCGTAAATTTCAACCTTAATGGTCTCACCATCGGTTCGAGCAGCCCTTTAATCATCACTAACATCTCTCCCATCGGTCCCAGTGGTCTCGCTGTGGCATCAGATAACATGATCGAAGGCACTTTGTTGGTGAGCGGCTCTTTGCCGTTTTTGAGTGCGGTGGCATTCGACGGTACGCTGCCGACGGCCGGTACTGGTGTCGCCACTTGCGGCTGCGGTAATGGCGCAGTTGGAATTATCGAGGGCTTCCCGACAATCGCACCGGCTCCTCCTATCTTCGGGATCGGAGGCATCTACTAGAGTCCTACTTTGGGAATATATCTGACTAATTTTTAAATAAGTTTACTT